CCCCCTCCCCCAGTCAGCCCTAAGAAGCCACCCGAATGGTAGGCGATTTGCTGTTCACTCAGAGCCGGTTCTGCAGTGTTGCGGGACTGCATACTCGCTCGGGCCACAGGAGGGGCTACGGCGCCTTACACCCGCAACACTGCCGTGTCCGCTGTGAGACCCCCGGTACAAAACCTCTAATCGAGCTGGCTCGGGCACCCGAGTTACGTCTCAGGTGCGAGCGAGATGCTCCACCTGGACCACCGTCCCCCTCTCACTCACACCTGACCTTTTCGGACGCACTCCCGGGTTTGAGAACTCCCGCTGTGAGGAGTGTCTGGGCTCGGCCCAAGCTCGGCCCTACAGGCACCCCTGAGGCGGGGCACTGGCCGGCGGCCGGGCGTGGGCCGCGCTCAGCAGGGCCTTCAGCAAGGAGCCGGCGAGGCCCTGCTTCACGGCTGCGCGGCGTTGTAGGGGAGCGTCCTGCTGGTCGCGCGGGGTGTCCCGGACGCGGAGCCCCGGTACGAGAGCTGCTCCTGCTCCAGCATGCGCAGCCCCCGCGTCACGGCCGTGTGGTAGCGCTGCGAGAGGCTGGCCTCCGTGCCCTTGAGGCGCGGGATGTGGCCCGTGTACCCGGCGATGGGCGGCAGGGCCGCCGAGATGTGGCTGTCTGCGGGAACAACAAGTCAGCACCCAATGCGTAAAACCATCGAAAACACACCTCGAAAGTCCAAAGTTGGCATCGTCTCGACTTCCATTCTGCTCTGGGTATGCAGGAGCCAGCAGTCCTCTGCCGCCTGACGCAGCGTGGGTAGGCAACCCGATCACTCGGCTACACCGCTGTTGCCTACCGAGCGGGCGCCTGCCGCCTGCCGCAGCGTCGGTAGGCAACGCGACTACTCGGCTGCGCCGCTGTTGCCTACCCAGCCGGCGCGCTACCGGGAAAGAGCGACCTTTGCACACCCGGTGGTATTTGCTCTCCTATTTCCGAGATGCGGCATGTTTTGCTTTTGGTGACGCCATCATTTGCCAAGGCGGCAGCAGGCATCTACCACAAAGCCGGCAAATATGTGCCCCGCTCACCTTTGTAGCGATCCTCGGCGAAGGCGTCGGGCTGGGCGATGGCCTCGGGCACCACGTCCCGGCCGCGGATGCTGAGCTGCGGTGGCGGGGGGTGGGCGTGCACGTCGCGCGCCTCCCGCGCCCTGCGGCCCGCCTGCTCGGCCGACCGCGCGTGCATCAGCGCCAGGGCCGCGTCCGCCGCGCGCCCGAAGGACGTGCCGAAGCGGAACGTCATGCCGGGGATGAAGCCTGCGGCAGAGGGCGGCGTCAGTGCAGGGTCTCCCTCCGGGGTCACCGCCAGGGCGGCGTCAGTGCGGGGTCAGCCTTCGGGGTCACCGCCAGGGCGGCGTCAGTGCGGGGTCAGCCTTCGGGGTCACCGCCAGGGCGGCGTCAGTGCGGGGTCACCCTTCGGAGTCACCGCCAGGGCGGCGTCAGTGCGGGGTTTCCCTTCGGGGTCACCGCCAGGGCGGCGTCAGTGCGGGGTCAGCCTTCGGGGTCACCGCCAGGACGGTGTCAGTGCGGGGTCACCCTTCGCGGTCGGGTCACCGCCAGGGCGGCGACGTCAGTGCGGGGTCATCCTTCGGGGTCACCGCCAGGGCGGCGGCGTCAGTGCAGGGTCACCCTTCGGGGTCACCGCCAGGGCGGCGCCATCGCCACTCACCCGTGTAGCCCAGGACGAAGGGCCGCGCCCTCTGCGAGGCGAGCTGCGGCGCGCGGCTGCGCAGCCCGCCGGGCTCCTCGCTGTGGACGCGGCGCAGCGGGAACTCGTTGGGGAAGTGCGGCTCGCCGTAGCGGTGGAGCGCCCTGGACCCGGGGCTGGCGCACTCACGGAGCTCCTGGAGCAGGGGGCCTCACTATAGCAACACGGTTAGGTACGGCGTACCTGTTCCTTGCTAGTGCTGGGACAGGCTGCTGCAACCGGCGGAGCCATTACCAGGTGGATGACTGATCTGATTGATCCGTAGCTGGACTTTAAACGCATGCTCGCGTGCGGGAGGGTTGCCTGTTCACCACGGGCCTAAGGCGGTCAGAGACGAGAGGCGAACCCACCCGCACACCTGCACGTGTGGCACAGTAACACACGGTGACCATCATCCACCCGGTATGAAGACCCGCGTCACGGAACTGGCAGAGGAGAAGCAGGCAGGGGGGCTCACCTTTAGAATGTCCTTGGTGTTGGCGCCGTACGGCTTTCCGAAGCGGAACTTGAGCATTGGGCAGTGGCCCGTGTACCTGCACATAGTGAGAGAGCGTCATGCGCAGCGGCGGGGGAAGAGTGTCGCTGGGGGCGCCCGGACGCGGACTGCAGCGCGAGCTGCACGGCTCCGGCTGCAGGCGGCGACAGGGAGGTGGGCTCCGGGGGTGACCTGAAGGTGATCCGCCCGGTACATGACGTTATTGTTGGTGCCTGGCCTCGGGGCCTGGGCCTGTCCTGCCATATACAGCGGCGGTGACAACTCTGCCATTCCGCCCCGCCACGCCCCGCCCCTCCCGCCGTGTGGTTGCGAACCACTTCTTTCCGGCGAGACAAAAAAACAAACAAATCAGCGAACGAGAGTGCATTGCCCCTCCCCCCC